GACAGAGAGAGCGGACGCAGGCGCAGCCGCTGTGGAGCGACTGCCTCTATTTTAGAGCAGAATGGAGTCTCTGTCGCGGAGGACGGAATGCCTTTTAGAGGAGAACAGAGGCTCTTAGTAGTTGCGCCTCTATTTTAGCGGAGAAGGGAGCCTTGACACGGAGCTACTCCCTCTATTTTAGAGGAGAAGGGAGCCTTCAAACTGAGCTACTGCCTCTATTTTAGAGCAGGGGAGAAGGGAGCCTTGACACGGAGCTACACCCTATATTTTAGAGGCGAAGGAAGCCTTCAAACTGAGCTACTGCCTCTATTTTAGAACAGCACGGGATCTCTGGACTATTTCAGAGGAGAACGAAGCCTTCAAACAGAGCTACTGCCTCTATTTTAGAGGAGAAGGGAGCCGTCAAACTGAGTTACTGCCTCTATTTTAGAGGAGAACAGAGGCTCTTAGTAGTTGCGCCTCTATTTTAGAGGAGAAGGGAGCCTTGACACGGAGCTACTCCCTCTATTTTAGAAGAGAAGGGAGCCTTCAAACTGAGCTACTGCCTCTATTTTAGAGCAGAGGAGAAGGGAGCCTCGACACGGAGCGACACCCAGGGAGCCTTCAAACTGAGCTACTGCCTCTATTTTAGAGCAGCACGGGATGTCTGGACAGAGGAGAACGACGCCTTCAAAACGGAGCTACTGCCTCTATTTTAGAGGAGAAGGGAGCCGTCAAACTTCAAAACAGAGCTACTGCCTCTATTTTAGCGGAGAAGGGAGCCGTCAAACTGAGCTACTGCCTCTTTTTTAGAGCAGAACGGAGTCTCTGTCGCGGAGGACGGAATGCCTCTATTTTAGAGGAGAACAGAGGCTCTTAGTAGTTGCGCCTCTATTTTAGAGGAGAAGGGAGCCTTGACACGGAGCTACTCCCTCTAGTTTGGAGGCGACGGAGAGCCAGGCTCAGAGTAAGCCAGGTTGCTGATCGATAACCGAAAGCCTAGTTTGGAGGCGAAGGGAGCCTTCAAATTGAGCTACTGCCTCTTTTTTAGAGCAGAACGGAATCTCTGGACGATTTTAGAGGAGAACGAAGCCTTTTTTCTATTTTAGAGGAGAAGGGAGCCGTCAAACTGAACTACTGCCCCTTTCTTAGAGCAGAACGGAGTCTCTGTCGCGGAGGACGGAACGCCTCTATTTTAGAGGAGAACAGAGGCTCTTTGTCGTTGCGCCTCTATTTTAGAGGAGAAGGGAGCCTTGACACGGAGCTACTCCCTCTATTTGGGAGCAGGACGGAATCTCTGGAATATTTTACAGGAACGGAGTCTCTGGAGTAGTAGCTGTTCCTTTCTTGTAGAGGAGGACGGAATGCTTCTTTCTATTTTAGAGGATAGACAGACAGAGAGAGAGAGAGAGAGAGAGATAGAGAGAGAGAGAGAGAGAACAAGAACGCTTTTGTCTCTGCGGGCAAAAAAAGCCAGCAGGAAAGAGCAGTCTCTTCATTGACCGCCCACCTTGCCTTGCCCGAGCGGGGGGTGAACCGACGATCTTTGGGTTGAAGAACATAAGCCCTCTACCACTGAGCGACCGAAGAGCAAGGGAAGACATAAAAGGTATCCCCTGGCTGTGAGGGGCTACCGGGGCGGAATATTCAGTTTAGCTCGGGACAAAAAAAAAAACCACAAAAAACACACCCCCTATAAAACCTCCCTTTAAAAAAACCCTTTTAAAATATAAAGTAACAACAAACACATTAAAAAAAAAAAAAAACCACACAAAACTAAAAACACATTCCGAACACGAGGTCTCCAACCGACAAAATGCCCTCCGACTATCATAAATACTAAACAACCAAACCAAATTTACACACATCACACACAAAAGATGTGTGGTGCTCTTTTAGTGTGTTTTTTGTTTTTTCGAAACAGAATCTGCCACAAAGAGTACGCAACGGTCATAAGCAGAGAGGGAAGGGACAAAGAGAGCGGACGCAGGCGCAGCCGCTGTGGAGCGACTGCCTCTATTTTAGAGCAGAATGGAGTCTCTGTCGCGGAGGACGGAATGCCTCTATTTTAGAGGAGAACAGAGGCTCTTAGTAGTTGCGCCTCTATTTTAGCGGAGAAGGGAGCCTTGACACGGAGCTACTCCCCCTATTTTAGAGGAGAAGGGAGCCTTCAAACTGAGCTACTGCCTCTATTTTAGAGCAGAGGAGAAGGGAGCCTTGACACGGAGCTACACCCTCTATTTTAGAGGCGAAGGGAGCCTTCAAACTGAGCTACTGCCTCTATTTTAGAGGAGCACGGAATCTCTGGACTATTTTAGAGGAGAACGAAGCCTTCAAACAGAGCTACTGCCTCTATTTTAGAGGAGAAGGGAGCCGTCAAA